AATAGTGTATATATGTGCTTGTTGAGACAGAGAAGGGCACAGCTATCCTCCAATTCCAAACCTCATTACATATGGAGGAAAGAACTATCCTCCTTATATTTCCAGACAGTATGCTAGCTGTTACTTCTGCACATGTCTGAGTGGTAGACAGAAAAAGATGGCTGAGAGATCATTCTCAGCAGTGTCAGTGAAGATAGAATGTCTTCTTTATTTCCACCTGGTCTCAAGGCTAAGAAGGGATATTCAACAAGGATGAGGTGCCATTAGAGATTGAATGGAATTTGAGAAGTTGATTTCATAGCAAAAAGACCATTTACTAGGATGGATTTACAAGTTATAGTTGCAATATGATACAGAAACCAAATGGGTTAAAACATGTATGATAAGTTGGATGCAGAACTATAGAGAAGAAATATCCCTCCATCAATGGGAAACTTTGTGCAAAAAAGAATAAAATTCACTGCTAGCCAAGCATTAAGAGAGAATAGGTACAAGGTGTTCCTGTGTTGTTATATCACCTCTGAAATATTCAAAAATTGGACAAGAGTTATAATGGACAGTGTTGGAAATGTAAAAAAGTGGAAGAGGCTTTCTATTATATGTGGTGGTTGCATAATATGTATTTGCTTCCAAAAATTTTGTAAAGAAAAACATACTGAAATACAGAAAAAATTGAAAATTAACTTACCAGTGAATACTAAGAATATGCTATTCAGTATTTTACTCACTACTTAATAAAAACCCTCCTAACAAATATGGAAGAATTATTTAAATATATGACAGCAACAATTGCAACAAAATGAAAAACAGAACAGTGCCCAACCAACAAAGATTGGAAAAATAAGCTAGCTGACTATGCAGTGATGGCAAAATTAACCAACTATGTAAATAGGAGACTGGTTAAAGAATTTACTGATAAATGGGAAGCTATAGTTATAAATTTAGAAGATGTAATGATTATTGCTGATCTTTTGTGAAACTTCCTGCATCTAGTTTTATATGCAATTTTTGTACATGTTCCCTTGGTTACTTTTTCTTTTTTTCTGTTTTTCTTTCTGTTTCTTTTTTATTTATTAAAAAAGCAGTGTTTGCTACAGATTTTAAAGTTTGTGTGTTTGAAAAAGATGGTTTATTCCCTAATCAGGCCCAGGCCTTCATTGCTGCCACCACGGCTGGGTGTAATCTGCAGAGCTTCCCAAAGGCAAAGAGAAGATCCTGCTCCATTTCCTTGCTCCAGTACTTGTTTGCATGCTCAGAGCGGGCAGGTGAACTGGCAGACACAACAAGGAAGAAAAGCAGCATGGTCAGCAGCTCCAAAGGTTGGGAGTGGCCCCTTTGCTGGAATGTGGGCCTCAGCAGGTACCCAACAAGAGGGAGTCCTAATGCTGGCCCTGTTCCTTATTGTATGCCTGCTTTTCTGTTCTTTGGAATTATTTGCACTGTTTTTCATGTTTCCCTGCAAGGAATTTATCAGCACAGCTGAGAGCATCTCCTTTAGCCACTCTGTATTGTACTAAATTGTCATTCTCAAAGGCTTTAGAATATCTATAAATAAATTCACGCTATCACTCATGCAAGCTATTTCAGCTCACTTACTTTGAAAGCAAACATCATCTCTTTTCACCTTCAATCCTCTGTTTTTGTTTAGATTTAAAAGAACCCTAAGATTTCTGTAGTATTGGAAGCAAAACTATTTCAAGTTGAATGTCAGCTGGATGTTTAGTCAGAAGTCTAGAGCACAGTGATTAAAAACACTTCCATGTTGTGTTACCATTGAAAAGATGGCAGGAGGTGCATTTAAATTATACTGCTTAAAGGGTCTACAGTTCTTCTGTCTCTCACTAATGCTAATATTCATATTCCTTATGACTTTTCCCTTTTCTAGCAGTTCTTAGATACAAATAATGCAAATCACTTAGCAAAATTATGCTTTTTAGTTAAGAGTATGAAATGGGAAACAAGTGGACAGAGAATGCTCTTATACGACACACTGAACAGTAGAATTGTCCTGCAACAGAATTCCAACAGGGAGATCTGTAAGTAAACTATTCACAGGGCAAGTATTGTTTCCTATGACAGATAAAGCCTACTCTCATGGACAAGTAAACGCTGGTTCATATTCAAGATTTTTCTCATAGTTTGGAGGTATGCATGACCCCAAGGCATGTTTGTTCCCTTTGCCTGGATACGACCACAGGATGCTGCCATGTTCCAACAGCTCAATGAGGTCAGGTTGTGGGCAACTTTCAAAAGGAAATCTGGCTTGCTTTTCCTGATCTTTAAATAGTGCCCCCACCTTTGGCCCAGGCAGTAGCTGCTATGCCTCAGAGTACCTTTTCCTCAGGGTTTGATACATCAGTCCCCCTATATATACCCCTCTAAAATAGTGTAAGTCAAAATGCTAAAGTAAAACTAACAATGACAGAAATATTCCTGGGTCCAGCTTCTCAGTGTAATATTTGACTAAGGATGTATTCTATCATTGATTTTGATAATGATTGACATTGTAGCTTTAAATGACAACCAAGTTAAAAAAGGAAAGTAATAGAGAATGACAGTAATTAGTTACATATGTACCAAGATAGTTTCAATCTAATATTTTGCAATTTGTTCTGATGGATGCATAAATGTGAAATCTTTTTACTGGAATTAACTATCTAGGTATCTTGTTCCAGAATGATCCCATGAACTAAATTTGTGTTCTTGTCACAAGTAGCATAGATAGTTCATTCTAATTAAATGTTCCCATGTGCATCCCACATTAATCATATGTGTGACATTAGTATATACTTTGGAATGTGGCTATGAGGGAGGGAAGCATTTCCCAGCTGCCCAAAGGGCATTTTGGGGGCTTCTAGCAAGGGTGGTCACCTACTAGCCACTTAGCAAGAGTGGCAAAGGATTTTTACTGTTCTTGGCTAAGTGAACTTGTAGTTAGGATTGACTAATGGTATGTTATGCTGTCCAGATTCAAACAACATGACAACCTACCATGGATTAAACAGACCTTTCTACAAAGTCATGGATGGTCAGAGTGGATTATAGCCCCAAAATAAGCCACCTGTTCCAGGTCTGTTTGACAAGACAACCTGCTGGGGCTTATAAATCATGGTGGGCTTTCATGTCATATGAACCCAGTCATTGTCTCCTCTTCAGAAAACATATTAAAAGTCATCTTCCAGGAGCTCTTATACCATATATTGCTGGAAGCTCTTTGACCATGTATTGCTGTAATCCAACTGAAAAGCACTGTACTTTTCCTAGCAGCTTTTCATACATTGTTGAGCAAATGAACACTATGAAGATATAATTTGTAAGAGACAAACGCTCTATGTTTCCAAAGTGTGGGCAATTGTACATTCTATTGTTTCCCTAGGACTTTTGCTGTAATTTTGTAAAATCTAATTTCTAACTCATTTTTCTTGGTCTGACTCTGTCCCTTCTCCTTCTCCACCCATATTGTTAGTATCATTAACTTTTTAATCTCAATGTTTGGGATCCTGACCTTGATGCCCTAGGATAACAAAATAATGTAAAAATAGCCTGTCACTCAGGATGTTCTCACTAAAAAGTTGTCAAGCGCTCACACAAAATCTTCAGTGCTTTCATTGCACTGTTCCTTAACCTACAATTGTAACCCCTGAAATATTTTACTTGAAATTTATTACATCAAATGCCCACATATGGTTGGCTGTAGGACAGTTTGGATTCTCAGCTCCAGCTGGCACAGAAAGTACCACACCGGCTACTCTCTGGGGTTAAAAAAAAGTAACCTCAGAGAGGAGTTAAATAGGGGGAGTGGAAGAAACTGGAGCACCATGGTATGAGGCATCCTGCTGCCATGCCTCCTCCTCCTCTCACCCTCAGAAATCCTGCTGGCTGAAACCATCCATCTAGTGAATATGCAGAGTGGGAGGCAAAGATAATCTCACCAGCTCTTTCCATGCTGCATTGTATGAATATGAACTTCCAAGTTTGGAGGCGCACATTTTTCTTGACAGGTGTCCACTTTAAATGTGGGAAATCTCCATAACACAAATTTGTATTCAGTGATAACTAGAAGTTATAGAAAAACTATCAATCCTAGGGATGCTCACTTGGAAATAGTGAAGTTTGTGAAATTTCAAAATTTGAAAGTAGTATTCTTCAGGAACCTCTTTCAACAGTTAATTTTTCTTCTACTTCTCCATTTCTAACAAGGTAACAAGGTGGTTATTCCATGGCTAATGCCAGTGCAATGTAGTCATGATTTTAGAGCAGTACAGCAATCACCTCCCAGTCATAATGCTGCTGACAGATAGAAAAAACGATACATTCATCATCTGGTGCTGGAAGAGAGCTGTGCGAATACCCTGGCCCAACAGAAGATGAACAAGTAGGTCCTGGATCAAATGAAGTCAGAACTTTTCTTGGAAGCAAAAATGACAAAACTGGAGCTATCATACTTCAGGCACATTATGAGCTGGCAAGAGTCAATCGCGCTGGGGACAGTGGAAGGGAAGAGAGGAAGACCAGATACGAGATTGATGAACCCCATACAGGAAGCCACAGCCTTGAGTTTCCATTAGCTGAGCAGGGCTCTCAAGGGCACAAATCGAAGAAAACTTGACCGCACAGAATAGCTACAATGTTCAGGGTCAGTTTATTAACATAACCGGTTTCAGAAGCAAAGCGGGTTAATGGAGTGTGCATGAAAAGAGACAGAGCAAAGAGCGATGGAGCGTCAGGCATCCTTAGCAATGGCACAAAACACGCGTGCCCTTCTTAAGGGAGGTTCGATACGTTCACATCCTGCGGTAGGCCCGGAACCCGATTGAAGGCCGTCGCGCCTGCGCACCATTTTGTGTTTGGTGGTGATAGGCGGTGCTTGGGTGGGAGGGAGGGAGGCGGGCGGGAGTCCAGGAAAGGAAGAGCGTGGCCGTGGAGATGCTGGCTGGTTGTTGCCCAGTCAGAAGGCGGGCCGCCCGAAAGGCGGGCGCTTACCAAGTAGCCGCCGGAGACGGGTTGGCCTGAGCTGCTCCGGCAGGAGGAGGGCGCGCAACGTGCCCGCCCGGCCGTTGGCTATGTGAGGGGAACGGCTGTGTGGTGGAGGCAGTAGCAGCTGCTCCTGACGCCCCTCTCCCCCGCGCGCTGTCCCGGACCCGCTGAGCCGTTGTGACAGTTGGGAGCGCATTCCCCGCCCCCTCGCGGCGGTGTTTGTGTGCGTGAGCCTCCGCACGCGCCTGCAGGCTGCTGCTCGGCCGGTCCGTCCGTGGGCCCGCCGCCGCCGCCGCCCGTGGTGGTGGTGGCTGCCACTGTGTCCGCGCGCGCAGGTCTCCTCTCCTCCCTCCTTCGCAGTCCAACCATGCGGCTCTGTGGGGCGCTTCTGAAGAGCCCCATCCCCAAACAGATCGAATACTACTCTCGCTTTTCTCCATCGCCGCTGTCAATCAAGCAGTTCCTGGACTTCGGTGAGTGACGAAGAGGCACCTGCACGCTGCGCGCGACACAACCCCCCTCCCTCCGCACACAAACACACGTCGTCTCCCCGTCCTTTCGAAGTTTGGGGTTTGGTTTGGGGTAGGCGGTGGAGAAGCTCCCCGCGATGCTCCCCCTTGGCGGCCTGTGTGACGTCACTGGGACGAGGTGGGGGAGGGGTTCGGGACGAGGCGCCAAAACAAACAGCGGTCACAACCTTGCAACCCTTGCGAAGGAGGGGGTTTCTTCTGAGGTGTTTCCCTAAAAGGCCGTGGTTGAATACGTGTCAGTGAGGAAACAATTAGACCGGTTAGGTGTACTGGAGGAGGAATGTGAGAAGTAGCAAGGCCCGATTGTAGGATAGGCGGAAGCTCAACAGATGGAGATTTTTCTCAGCATGGACATGGAAGAGTGAAGAAAGTGCCACCTGTTTAGTTTCTATGCATACTGACGTTATTAAAGAGAGACATTACCTATGGGTCCCTTGTGCAGGTACTGAGCAGATCTTGACCTTAAAGCCATTCCGTGGGTTAGTTCAAGCATTATGTTTCAGTTCTCCCAATCATCATTCGGGACTGGTTTAGGACACATGCACTTCTCCCTCCCCTCTTCTGCAACGACCCACTTGGATTTTTCTTAATCATAACTTTCCATGCTGCCGAAGCTGGACAGTACTGTTCAAATCATACTTTTAAGTAGGGTTGTAAGCCATCGTTTGGAGGTTAATGTTACTCCTAGTTTGTTGATTTGGTTGGTATACTGCCTCCTATTACACTCTTTTAGCCCAGATATATATTTGGGGACCTAAATATTTTATGTCAGTAGTGCTGTTGTTAATACCAGTCTTAGACTTTGATCCAGGATTGAGGCTTGCCCCCACCCCATTTGAAGACCAAGAAAACCTGCAAATGAAAATGAAGTTGGAACAGGAAAAGGGAAGAATAAACAAGATTTTCCATAAAACATTTTCACTTCTGGTTTGCAGATATTGTAAACCAAGTTGCAGGCTTCTTCCCACCATATTAGAGATTATTGTCTGAAGGGGTTTACATGTTCTCAGCAGAAGGGAGTGGTTTGTCTTGGTACATGTTTTTTGTTCATGTCATGGTGTTTAACTGAAATGAGTGGACAGTCCCATCAACAGTTGGTTTGGACCCAGTCTGGCAGCAGTACATGAACCTTGCACTGCTTCTTGTGTGACTTTGACTTAGTCTGCAGAAAGTGAGGCCATGTTTTGTATCGTGCTATTTAGAGTGGGGAAAGCAAAGACAATTGAAGTCATCTTTTCCTAAATAAATTCTACTGCCATTCTGTGACAATGTCTCAAGCTCATCATTTTCTTAATTTTTTTCATTTCTTCTTTCATGTCTGGTAGTGCCTGGCATTACTTCTTGGACTTCAAAATACCCTCTGTCATTCTCTTTGGCAGTATTCCAACCAATAGTGCCAAACTCCACCTTATGAAGCATCTAAAATCCATTAAGGCACATTGCTGCTCATTTTTTTTAATAAAATGTCTGGATCTGAAGCTTGTTTTATTTTTTATTAGCTTAGGTGACACACACAGAGCTTCCCATGCTCACCCATTTGTACCTTAATGTCAGGAGGAGCATTTGTACAAAACTGGACTAACTTTTTAAAAAAATTCTAAGAACACCAGTTAGTGTGTATGGATAATCATAGACAGCAGGACCCCTGTATCCACTGGCTTGGTTACTGCATTTTCAGCTGATGGTGGTTGACCTTGGCCTGAAATAGAAATTGTAAAGTGCCAAGAACTCAAAGTGCTTCCTGAAAATTCTTTATTTAATAGGGAAAGAAAAAATCATATGCTGGGGTAAGAATAAACCAAATTGGGAAAGAGAAATGTATAAAGTTTATCTGAATTTATTTTGTTGCTTGCTGCCTGTGGCTCTCACTTGTGGCTCTCAAACATCTGACATTTACCCTAGGAGGCTTTTCTGTTGAGCATATCTGGCTGCCCCTGGGTGTTTGCTATTACCCGTGATTTCAGGCATCCACTGGGGATGGGGGCATGGAACCAGTCTGCATGGATACAGGGGGCCTGCTGTAATGTGTTGTGAGTGGAAGGAGGCATGGGGTTTCTCTGTACATCCTTTTTCACAAAAAGGAAACAAGCACTAACAGTGATGATTAATGGCATTTTGCTAAGGAGTTTGGCTTATTGAAGATACCAGAAGAAGAAGAATATATGAAATTTCCACTGGATCCCAGTCCCTTTGAGCAAATATCCCTTTGAGGCAAATAAGGTGCATGTGTTTCTGAAAACTTCATAGATACCACAGCCTCTAGTTACAGTACTGTCCTGGTTGTTGTATTATGGGGATTTATTCTGGAAGATGTGACCAGTAACCTACAGATGTGTTAGACAATAATGTTGACCATTCCCAGCCAGCATCAGTGGGGAAGGCTGTAACAGTATGAACAGCTGTTGCTTAGTTTTTCATATGTATCATTACCAAAAATTGTACTTGGCTGCTAAATCAGTGTGTCAAAAGAGTAATTAAAGTTAAAACAAATTATTTCTAGAAAGTGCTAGAACTATGAAAACTTGAAGAATTTTGCCCTGCTAGATCACATAGGGTTCTCTTCATGCAACCCCCCCTCCGCCAGTTTTTCTTAAGGGAAAGGCCGATGGGGAACATGCTGGGTTTGGCATTGTTTCTTGAAAGCATCCGAAGTGCCTTCAAGTAGAAGTACCCAAATTACACCCTGGCTTTTTTAAGGGAGCTTGATTGATGCTGTTGCTTAAAGATGCCACAAATGTTATGGAACAATGGTGTCCAACCCTTTCCTACTTCAGAGCAGGTAGGGTGGGAATGGGAGTTGCCAGGTTGGCTTTGCTTGGCCAAAGCTCTCCAGATGCCTTGGGCATGTAGCTCCCAAACAACCCTTGGTTTTTTGTCCAGCTCTGGAGTTTAGAAATTGGTGGATATCACTGAACAACTCTCAGAACAGACTCTGCTGTCTTCTCCAATTTCACCATTAGGAAGAAGGCTTGCTATTAGTCATGTTCACCCGAAGGCAGCATCACACTGCCCTAGCAATAGAATTGTTGAACCATGAATGTGTTTGTTGAAGTCTGAAGCTGACAATAGGGCAGTGGACTGATGTGGACTGGGCCCTAAAGGTATGCTTTCTGTGCCAAACACTGATGTTTTTATGCATTCATTTTCCTCTTGAAATTCTGCTCAAGCTTTTGCCTAGCAGATTATTTTAAAGTGAAGTAATGCCTTTTTGTCTGGACTTGCCAAGAGGAGGAGAACTGTTTTTGTCTGTTTTTAAAAATAAGTCGTATGCTAGTTTTATTATGAAAAGTGATCATCCTGGTTTTACAGTTAGTGTGTGGAATTGATTGAACATTGCCTTGCAGCTTTATATAAGGAGTATAAAGTTTTTTTTAAAAAATCAAGTACATGACAAGTTATCACTGTGCTATACTAGTATCAGGGTATAGAGCAAAGTGTATAATCAAGAATGGTTAGAATTGAGCTTTGGATTTATACATAATATGTTAATCATAAATATTTATCAGTGAAAAACAATGTAATTACACCTAGAACATAGGTGTAATTTAAAATGTAACACAAGTAACCATTGAGCAGCCAAGAATTCTATTTTTTCATAGAAAGGCATGTTTAAATTTAATAAACAAACTAATAGAACATATTTACACTGTTCAGTATGGATAAGGAGAACAGTTGTATCTGAGGATGTGCAAAAATTCCCAAATAAATGTGTTATTCTATTATTAATATTTTCATTTCTATACCACCCTATAGCCAAAGTTCTCTGGGAGGATTACAACAATATCTAAAAGAGAAACATGTTTATTACATCATACTGAATATCATGGTGTTGTAAACCCTGCTTGTTTTTTTCCAAAAATGGAATGTAATATTGCAGTATATTGAACAAATAACAGGATATAACATCCTCGCAAATCCATTTTTGCTATATACAAGTTAAGCCTTCCCCAACCTGCTGTCCTGTAGACTGCAGTTCCCAGAATTCTTGATGAATGTCCATGCCGGCTGAGGCTGATGGGAACTTGCTCAAACCATCTGGAGGGCACCTGTTTGTGAAGTTGTACAATAGATGAAATAGACCTAGAACTAATTAAGAATCTTTTGTCAGCAGCAAACATCAGTGTTGCTTTTTGTTACGACCAATTTGTTTCTCCCTTCTTCTACATTTCTAGTGATTTAACTTAGATGTAAAGGCCTGGAAGAAACCTGGAATAATTTAGCTTTCTACCTTCACTCTCTGGACTTCTTTCTTCAACTTTGGATTATGAAATACTGCATTTTAGCATGACTAATATAAGTTCTTATGTTGATACCCAGAACGTATTAGTAGCATTCTTCATGTTACCAAGGGTTTTTTTTTAAACTAATGAGCTCTTTTTCAGATCTTACCAGTTCATAGGTGACAGAAAACCACACCTAGAGATAAAAGAGCCATGGCCACCATGTACTGACCTGTCTCAGAACACACTTTTAAGTCTGAGAAGGACTGATGTCTATATCTGTGAAGAAAGTACAATTGATTCATAGAGGGATACTTGTTACTTGAAATGTTTGGAAGGAAAATAACCACTATAATACTAGACCATTTGCACTTTTCACTGTGATGTAAGATATGAATCAAGATGTTTATCTGTGTTTATACGATTTGCAGGGCATTTTACCTATGCTTATGGTCCATAAAAAGGTAAAGGTAAAGGTTTCCCCTTGACATTAAGTCCAGTCATGCCTGACTCTAGGGGGCGGTGCTCATCTCCATTTCCTAGCCGAGGAAGCCAGCATTTGTTCACAGTCTCCGTGGTCATGTGGCCAGCATGACTAAATACTGAAGTGCACAGAACGCTGTTACCTGCCCACCAAAGTGGTACCTTTTTATCTACTTGCATTTGCATGCTTTCGAATTGCAAGGTTGGCAGGAGCTGGGACGGAGCAACAGGAACTCACCC